CTTAACTCATATAAATCTTTTGTCCAATTATTTCATCAAAGAATGAATATCAATTTCTAAACATATATAATCAGTATTCCGAATAATTATAATCTGAAATATCAAATAATAGAAATACTCACAATTTAGCGATCTAGTTATAAATAAATAAATATATATATATATAAATATTCATTCCATGGTCATATAAATCCATAGTAGATTGCATGGCAATTTAATCAATGAGAATAATACTATTTTAAACCAACGATCATTCACATGAGCATAAATTTCATAAAGATCCTAAAACAATTTAAATAAAAAGAATCAACACTTGTTTTCACATAAATTACATATTAAAAGAACTAAACACTCTTAAAGACAAACGTCCACTTAAATACTAATAATCAAAGCCGAGACCCTAGACTCGCTTTCAAAAACCATCGATCAAGTGTCTCATACTCAACCATTCCACAACCTCAATTATCAAACTAATAATCTAAGAATTCATACGATATTATAGAACCATCTCAAAAACCCGACATAGTCAACAAAACTCAAATAACAATTAAGACTCATTTACAAGGTTATCCTAATACTTTTCGAAGGGTGAAACTCTCGGAAGACACACTATCAACCAAGGGTCAAACTCCAAAATTTGGTCAATCGGGCCCGCGGGGCCCACGACCTCCGTTTTATGATCCGAATGTTCCTATGGGTTCCACAAGATTTAGAAAATACGTCATGTAAGTTTCATTCGGATCGGACGGTCGGATAAATCACATTCGGGCGACCAGACGGTTATTATTAAGTTAAACTTTGAATTACTAAAACGGAGTATACGGGACTCTGATTCACAATCCATGAAATCCTATACGATCCTAAGAATGCCTAGATCAACATATATTAAATTCAAGACGATCCAACGGTCCGAACCTATCGAACCTGGATAACGCACAATAAGCAAAATCCGTTCGAGACTCAAACAACATCCAAATTAGAATCTGAGCACACCTACGCGCTCGTGACAACAAGGGGATTACATCGGGACACAATGCCCACGCGCCACCACACGCACATGCAGCGCGTGGGTGTCCAAAGTGATACCACTCACCGGAAAATCTCAAAAATAAGGGCCAAGATTCCTACCCTAGGTTCAGGACATCGATTGGAGCCACTTTTGTTCTTGGACCTACCCTGAAAAATAGCCGGAAGTGGCTAAAATTTCAATCCAAAAACCGGCTAAACTTAGGGTTATAAATTGAGTTACCTACACTAGGAATTGATCAAATCCTACCCAACCATCAGCTAGAGCACAAAAAATAGGTGAGAAACCATACCTCACTCGATTGCATTGGTGGCCGCCGGAGGAGGGAGAATGACGGCGGAGAAATTTTGAACAAAAATAGGCCTTTCCTCTCGATTTTCCGGCGGCTAGAGCTGCCATTAGCGGCGGGGGTGGCCTGGGTTGCGACGGCGGGACCTGGTCGGTCGCTTTGGGTCCAGTCTCGGCCAGAGTGGAGGTCGGACGTGGCGGCGCTGGCTCAAAATCCGTTCGAATGAACAGTGCCGGGGG